AAACGAAGTGGTTCCAAGATAACTTCTGGACTGAAGATGACCTCGGCTTGGAATGATCTAGGCGTAACATAACTTAGGCTTAACATCAAGGAAGGAACAAAGCATGCACATAACACTTAAGCAATCAAGACAAGCTTCATGAATGCAACTTATCAAGACAAGGTTATGTAAATGAACATGAACATGACCATGACGTGAATATGGGTAGTTACAGCATCTTAACATGGCAAAACATACAAATGCATGCAAACATGACTAGGACATAAAATGTGGGTTGTTACAGCTCATGTGGTCAAATGTTCAATTGGAGACGATAGGTCCAAATCAGTAATGGTAGAAACCAAATGTATTTACAATTTGAACAAATTAAATCATAGAAAAAAAAAAAAAACTATCTTCTTATTCACACTATATTAAATAACAATAGATATCTTGCAATTAAGTATTCATGTTCTTCTTGGCTCATTTCAAAATAATGAATAAAAAGATTTAATTATGTAATTTAAATTATTCACATTTTAAAATGCCTTTTAACTATCATATTAAGTGCTAACTATGATTGATTAAGAGAGAGATTCTCAATTTGGTCGCATAAGCTGGAATTAAAATTTTAAAAAATTAAGCCAATATAATTATTCAACTTGTTTGGTTTTTGAATTTAGGATTCACTTCTTAAAAAATTGAAATTTTTTATTTTCTGTATTTTTTTTGTTTTCACTGAAATTTTTAATATTTTAAGCAATTTTTTTAATTTTTAGATACATCTAACATAAATGCACTTAAAAGCATAATATTTGTGATTTTTTTTAAATCGTTAAATACCAAAAATCCAAAAAAAGAAAAAAGAAAAAAAAGAGAATTCAATACATTTTCATATTCACTACTACAAAAATAATTAAAGATCATACTTTGAGAGAAAAAAAATATCTCACTTTTATTGGAAGTGTGATAAAAAAATTAGATTGATATTTTTATCACACTTAATTTGATTAAGTGTGATAATATTTATTTTTTATGTCACTTTTCAATTAAGTGTGATTATATATATATTTTTTTAATCACACCTTCTAATTAAAGTGTGATTATATATACACTACTACTTTTTAATCACACTTTTTAAATAAGTGTGATTATAAATATATTTTTTAATCACACATTGTAATTAAAGTGTGATTATATATAAATTACTACTTTTTAATCACACTTTTTAAATGAGTGGGATTATATATATTTTTTAACCACACATTCCAATTAAAGTGTGATTGTTTATATATTTTTTAATCACACATTCTAATTAAAGTGTGATTATATATACATTACCACTTTTTAATCACACTCCCTAAATAGGTGTGATTGTATAAAATATTCCAATTTGATTTTTATATAAAATATACAATTCCCAAATTTGCGCCTCTATTCTACACCCATGAATGACAGAGGACGACTCTTTCCATCGCCAACAAGGTTGAATTTCACAAACACACAGGTCACTTCTCCATACTACAACAAAACTGGGTTTTCACGGATTCACATTAACGACATAAAGTAAATGCAAGCCGTGATAAATAAAAATATCTCACTTTTAATGGAAATGTGATTAAAAAAAAAGGGCAAATTACACTAACGGTCCCTATAGTTTGGGACTCGTGTTACTTTAGTCATTGACTTTTCAATTTAGACACATTTAACCCTGAATTTTGAATCTTGTTCCAAATAAGGACAATTGAAGATACCATTTTTTAATTTCAATGGCAAAATCATCAATATAATAAAATATAAACTAATTTGACAAAAATAAATGTCAAAAAAAATATTTTTAATTTTTTTTCCACCAACGATAAAATTATGTAAAATTGATACAAATTAATAAAAATTACATGATTAATTTTTAAAAATTAATTTTACATGATCATTATCCAAACGAATAAAAAAAATTAATTTGGTAAAAAAAAATAAATGTTTAAAAGATTTATCAATGTTACATAATTTTATTTTTAGTTGGTAGAAATAATTTTTAAAAATTAAAAAATATTTGTTTGACATTTATTTTTCTCAAATTAGTTTATATTTTATCAAATTGATGTTTTTACCCTTGAAAAATCTAATGATATTTTCAATTGTCTTTATTTGGAACAAAATTCAAAATTCAGGGTCAAATGTGTCATAATTGAAAAGTTAGAAACCAAACTATAGGGACTATTAGTTTAATTCACCCTAAAAAAAAAATTAGATTGATATTTTAATCACACTTGATTTGATTGAGTGTGATAATATTTGTTTTTTATGTCACTTTTCAATTAAGTATGATTATATATATATTTCTTTAATCACACCTTTTAATTAACATGTGATTATATTTATTTTTATATCACTTTTTAATTAAATGTCATTATATATAATATTTATTTGTAATCATACTTTTCAAATAAGTATGATTATATATATATTTTAATCACACTTTTTAAATAAGTGTGATTATATATGTATTTTAATCACACTCTCTAAATAGGTGTGATCGTATCGATTTCATTTTATTTTAATCACACTTTTTAAATAAGTGTGATTATATATGTATTTTAATCATAGGTGTGATTGAATAAAATATTTCTATTTCATTTTTATATAAAATCTGATTACAAAGTTGGCGCATAATTTGTACCATCATTGAGAGCAAAAGCAAATGACTCTTGACTTTCCCAACATCAGAGTCTCTTCTCCTTGCTGAAACAAAACCGTTCATTTTCTTCATCTCATGAACAACCATTTGCCTATTCTGTACCATCATTTTCTTCATCTCTGATCAGCTCCGAACAACCATTGCCTTTCCCAACAAGATTGAATCTCTTCTCCTTGCTGAAACGAAGCCGTTCATTTTTTCATCATAGCTCTGAACCACCATTGAAGTTACTCACTCAAACTACCATTGAAGTTTGTCTTTTCAAATAAAAAATCTCTTGAAATTCCTGGTGAGTCCTCTGATTTTTATGCCCCTTTTGTGTGTATTTCTGTTGGTATAGTAGAATCACAAATTTTACAGAGTTTTTTTCTCTGTCTATGTATTTTGCAGAGTTTTCTTCTCTGTCTTTGTCTGTGTATTTATCCTCTTCACGAAAAGGTTTTCCATGCTTTTGATTGCATTGGAAGCAATCTATTCTGGAAAATAAATAAATAATAAAAAATAAATCATTTTGTTATTTGAATATGGTAGCAACTCTGTAAAGAAGAATCCTACAGCACACATGTTTCCTGTTCTGTTTCCAAAAATTCAGAAAATAAAAACAAAGTGTCCACAGAACCATAAGCATGATTTCACATCACAAAATTACAGAACCATAGTAGAAATCATGATTAGTGGTTTTGAAAATATGCTTAGAATGTAAATTAAGCTGCTGGTGATAGGTTAACATCAGTCCCAGGTAAAAGAGTAATATGATGACTCATGAGTTTTACTTTTTATTCCAAAAGTGGATGGAAGAGCCTCCTTGGTGCCTGTATTCCACACCATCAATTTTGACTCAAGTATCTCGATTGGTGATTGTTAAATTGCCAAGTTATTTCCATATTCATGAGATGAATGCACTTTTTTTTTCTTTTTTTTTTTAACCCTAATGGATTTTTATTTTTCACCAATTCATCTTTGATTTTGTGCTTTATTCCATTAGTTTTTTTTATGAACAACCCACTTCTTTTTTTATTTTTTATTTTTTAACCCTAACGGATTTTTATTTTTCACCAATTCATCTTGGATTTTGTGCTTTATTCCATTAGTTTTTTTATGAACAACCCTCAAATTCAGGTTTTTTTCAAATGGAAACATTTTTGAAATAAACAATGGCTTATTTGACTTGGTTTCATTCTTAAACATTGTTAGCTTATGATGGTTGAAACTTGGAGGTTTCTTGATGGTGTCCCTTTCTCTCCTGTTGACAAACATGGTTAAGTTATTAGTGAACATTTAAGAGAGCCGGTTGATGCAGTTTGGGTCCTCAGCTAGGAAGTAGTTGGTGGTAGGCCCTCTACAAAGAGATGGGACGACGTTTCTGAATGTGGATGAATTTTTGGTTATAATTGTAGAGACCAAGCAAAAATACTTTAAGCTGCCCAAAAGCTGATGGTTCTTGCCCTTGGAAGACCTTTTGTTGTCTTCAATCACTATGTATGTCCATTATTCTAATTTATAATTCTATGCTTACAAACCCAATATTTGATAAAATTGATGTATAGGCTATCAATAATTAATATTATCTGATTTGGAGGATATTGATAGCAAAATACGAGGAATGTCATATTTTTCATTTTATAGCAGCATAGACAAGAGGAATGTCAAATCACAGGCAGCATTTTGGATTAGAATTTGATATAAATTTAGATCTATACTTATTATGTAATTTTGAATTCTTGCTTTCAAGTTTGTATGCATTCTTTTGGTATATTGAGTTTATGACTATTTCATTAAAAGTGCTTCACATGCTTTGGTCCATGTATTTTCTTATTATACTTGGTATTATCCTAGAAGTCACCTAAGAGATTATCAGACACCGGGACATGGTGATTTCCTAAAAATTAAGATACAAACACGACAGGGATATGACAATTTTATATATATAATTTTTGCTGTTTTTATGAATATTGCACCCACAAATAACCAAAAAAATGAAACATTAACAAAAATTCAACATGAAAAAACAACTCAAATTATAAACTTTAATGAATTTAAAGGGTATTGGAAAATATTTTTTATTAATTATAAACTATTACATCATAGTTGTTTGCCTTTATCAACATTAGAAATTGTGGGTCTGCTTCTAGCATAAGTAGAAAACTTTCCTATAATCATTACAAGTTATAAAAATAACAATTTCAACAATCAAACATTGATTTAGATAAGGGGAAAAATGCCACTGGTATTGTTTACGGAGAATACTGCAAAGTGATGATTAACATAGACAAGATGTTTACATAGTTGTGATTATAAATTTATAATGACACTTTTTACACTTGATCCGATTAATTCTAAAATAAACACAAGCTTTGAAATTGTAATAAACACGTAAGTTTGGCTAGTTCGTACATTTTTAAGCAATTTGAGTTACTCTAAAAATATTTTGACATTTGGAATTTCTTTTGTAAAGTGTTTTGAAAATTTATGAAACTACCCAAAAGAGGAGGAGGACCAATCCAGTTTGGAAAGTAGTTCAGGTAATCAATATCATTTTCTTTAATTTTATCATACTTATATTATGCTAATGATTGTTCAGCTTGATCATAACACTTTATATATAGTTTCTAATAATAATGAAAATGCTTTTATGTAGTCCCCGCAACAACCTACAAACGTGGAATGTGGGTTTTATGTAATGCGGTATATGAAAGACCTCATTAGAGATCAAAGCATCCTAAGAAAACAAAATGTGAGATAAATTCTAAACTTTTATTACTATTATATTCATGATACTTGTACATCTTCTTCATTATCTAATTGTTTGTAAATAACCTCTTGCAGTTCAATGGAAAAAAGACTTACACGGAAACCGAACTTGATGAAGTGCGAGTTGAATGGATTAATTTCGTACTAAAGAATATGAGTTGAAATCCAATGTAAGTATGATATAACTTCCGTTGTTTAAATTACTAATCAACAATTTCTTTAGTTGGTAAAGAATATATAATCACTTCAAGATTTCATTTTAGATTTGTTGATTCTATGTATATTTGGTTTTATGACTTTAAAATATCTGCTCATACATTGAAGATTTTCATTTTGAATTTATTGATTCTATATATATGTCATATTTATATATGGTAATCCAAACATTTTATATTAGTAACAATCAAAGTTGTTATTCCTTTGCCATTGATGCAGGAGATGAAGAGTCAGTGTGATGAGAAAATGTTCGATTTCGTCTTTTGTAAGTCTCTACAAAAATATTAAGTTTATTCATATGATTTTAGCGGTTTCTGAATTAATTTGTGCTTTTATTTTTCAGGTTAGAAATTTCTTGGAGAAATGCAAAATATGGTCAAAGAATTCATCAACTTAGTTTTTTCATGTTTTTTTTTTAAATATATGTAAGCACAGTTAAAAACTTTTTACTAATTTCTTTGTATATATTTTTTGAACATTTAACTTTCATTTATGAAATATATGATGTTATTCCATTCAATATATGGTTGTGATTCAAAATATAGTATATAGTGTGTATTACATTCTTCAAATGCATATAACATGTGATCTTATCTGATTATTAATCACGTGTTTTATTAGATATTAATCACACTTAAAATCTGTGATCTAAATGTTATTAATCACACTTAAAATGTGTGATCTAAATATTATCAATCACACTTAAAAGGTGTGATCTAATGTTATCAATCACACTTAAAAGGTGTGATCTAATGTTATCAATCACACTTAAAAGGTGTGATCTAATGTTATCAATCACACTTAAAAGGTGTGATCTAATGTTATCAATCACACTTAAAAGGTGTGATCTAATGTTATCAATCACACTTAAAAGGTGTGATCTAATGTTATCAATCACACTTAAAAGGTGTGATCTAATGTTATCAATCACACTTAAAAGGTGTGATCTAATGTTATCAATCACACTTAAAAGGTGTGATCTAATGTTATCAATCACACTTAAAAGGTGTGATCTAATGTTATCAATCACACTTAAAAGGTGTGATCTAATGTTATCAATCACACTTAAAAGGTGTGATCTAATGTTATCAATCACACTTAAAAGGTGTGATCTAATGTTATCAATCACACTTAAAAGGTGTGATCTAATGTTATCAATCACACTTAAAAGGTGTGATCTAATGTTATCAATCACACTTAAAAGGTGTGATCTAATGTTATCAATCACACTTAAAAGGTGTGATCTAATGTTATCAATCACACTTAAAAGGTGTGATCTAATGTTATCAATCACACTTAAAAGGTGTGATCTAATGTTATCAATCACACTTAAAAGGTGTGATCTAATGTTATCAATCACACTTAAAAGGTGTGATCTAATGTTATCAATCACACTTAAAAGGTGTGATCTAATGTTATCAATCACACTTAAAAGGTGTGATCTAATGTTATCAATCACACTTAAAAGGTGTGATCTAATGTTATCAATCACACTTAAAAGGTGTGATCTAATGTTATCAATCACACTTAAAAGGTGTGATCTAATGTTATCAATCACACTTAAAAGGTGTGATCTAATGTTATCAATCACACTTAAAAGGTGTGATCTAATGTTATCAATCACACTTAAAAGGTGTGATCTAATGTTATCAATCACACTTAAAAGGTGTGATCTAATGTTATCAATCACACTTAAAAGGTGTGATCTAATGTTATCAATCACACTTAAAAGGTGTGATCTAATGTTATCAATCACACTTAAAAGGTGTGATCTAATGTTATCAATCACACTTAAAAGGTGTGATCTAATGTTATCAATCACACTTAAAAGGTGTGATCTAATGTTATCAATCACACTTAAAAGGTGTGATCTAATGTTATCAATCACACTTAAAAGGTGTGATCTAATGTTATCAATCACACTTAAAAGGTGTGATCTAATGTTATCAATCACACTTAAAAGGTGTGATCTAAAGGTTTTTAATCACACTTAAAAGGTGTAATCTAAATGTTATCAATCACACTTAAAAGATGTGATCTAAACGTTTTTAATCACACTTAAAAGGTGTAATCTAAATGTTATCAATCACACTTAAAAGATGTGATCTAAACGTTTTTAATCACACTTAAAAGGTGTAATCTAAATGTTATCAATCACACTTAAAAGATGTGATCTAAACGTTTTTAATCACACTTAAAAGGTGTGATTAAAAATGACCCCTTTTAATCACACTCCCAAAGATCACACTTTAATAAAACTAAAAAGGTGTGATTAAATAACAAACATCACACAAAAAAAGTGTGATCTTTATCTGTTTTTGTAGTAGTGACTCCAAAGAGATCGTTAAGGTGTAGTGGTTTCTTGAATGAACTTCCACGTTTAATTTTATGCAGTTTCCATTTCTATTTTTATTCAACTTCAA